TATATAACTGTGTTTATCTCAGCTTAAATAGTATAGCAGATATATTTCACTCACAGATATTCCAAAGTGTAACAGCAACAATTCCAGTATATATTCCTATATAAAGTTATAATAAGTACAAATATCACAAGTTTAAATAAATCTGCATACCATTTAATAGAGAGCACAGTATTATTGAATTCAAGTCAGCATTGAAGCCTTGAGACATGAAAGCTTTGTTTGCATCAGTAAGATCTGATGGTATATTAATCTGAGTGACCATTGGAGAAGTATGGGTGAAGGTAGAAGGCAAGCAAGAGGCTTAGAGAGAGTAGTTAGTAGATATGATACACATTAAATCTCTTCTTATATAGCATGCAGTGACACAGTAAAAACTAATAATAAAGCATCAACAAAGTATCAACACTGCATATTAAAAAGATGATCATTTTAAAATATCATCATGAAAAACAAGTTTCAGATTTATTTGATTATAACATGGTAAAAAACTGATACTGATATATCAACTACTGTATATAATTCTTTATCAGAAAAAGATGCACTTTGAAAATCAACAGATGATAAAAATATATAATCATCTTACTCTTATTATATATTTTGCAATGTGTAAAGATTTCTAGCTGAAATATATACTTTGAAGGAAAGATTTAAAGTCTGTCTAGCTGCAAGAGTGATTTTTGATATGCCAATATAAATTTCTACATATAGTAGACACTTATTTTATTGGACATTAATACTTTAAAAATTTATATATTATTTAGAAGTGCTTAGTTACCATCAGCATTATATTCTGAGCAGGTAGCCAACTCAGCAGATACTATCAAATGAATAGACAGATTGCTCAAATAGTCAGCCTAGCAAATGCTATTAATGGATAGAAATTTTTCTATGATCGGCTAAATTAGACAGATCAGAAATACTTTGACCCCCAAATAGATTGTCCTATAGGTTCTTAAAAACAGTATAGTAACCAAGTATCCTATATATATAGTACTTAGACTTGTGCATGTCACAACAATATGATTTTGATAGTATGGCTTCGTCAGTTACCTTCTACCTGGCAAATAAAGTAAGAGTCAGAGATGATGTCAAACTCATAAAATTTGACAGACCTTTGAGGTGTCTTTTATCAGTGTGCAGCATATGAAGGGACTATGAGACATAAGTTGTCCTTCGCTGCATGACAAGATTTGCTTCAAGCATAGGCACGATCAAAGCGAACCTCAAGATCTGTCAATTATAGTGTTGTGTGCAGCAGGATACAGCAGGGACGGTCAGTGTTTGATCCCAAGCAGAGTTACATTGATATGGGTTTGCTGACATAAGCTGTTCGTCGGTATCATCTGGAAGTATTGCGAAATGCTTCAACAAAACTGGCATGCCTATGGAATGATAAGGACGACGGCAGATTTTAAGGTGCACATACGCACCTGCTTTGATAATCCCAAGTTACGATACCGTTCTTCTGGCCTTACGGCGAGACAGGTTCGAAGTCCAGCATCCGCAGCGACGTCGAAGAGACAAGTCGCCATGGCACACCCCACTTCAGGCCCCAGTATATGGATTGACCTCACGAGATACTACCTGTGAGATGGTAAGGAACCACAGAGTAAAGCCAAGGAAGAAAAGAAGACCTGACCTGTCTGCAGCGTCACGACTCAAAAATGCTGCAAACTGACATTATCTCCTCGTTTCCAACATACCTATGGATACCTAAAGCTACAAAAAAAAATACAGACGTGACCTTCCGTAATATGCTTCTTGCAACGATGACGGCTAGTGCGAAAAAGCACCGATTGCTGTTGCATTCAAGAACCGACATTTCTTCGTTGGAATTTTCGGGTGGCGTTTTGAGTGAAATTCCTGGTTAGGGCCACCGCGCGTTGGATACATGTGGATTACATTCATCGTAGCTGCCTCGCACCGTTCAAGAGAGGGAAGACCGCTAACGGCGTGTAAACTGTAAGCGTAAGGGTGATACGCTGAAGCCTGCCCTAAATTCCACGTGACTACGTTTCGTATCCGCTAGATCTTCCGCATAATGGCCGACGCCGAACATGAAGTTTTTACTCTGCATAGAATCCAAGAGGAATATCTGAAGCTAGAAAAAGACTATCATCGCATGCTTCAAGATGTTTATCAAGTCGATCGCAACGGGAAACATATCCCTGTCATTATGCATTCTCCTGTCACCAATGCCCTCGACAAAATCCAATCCATCCCCTTTCTTTCATTTCCTTTGACATCATCGGGGATTAACTGCTCTCTCAGATATAAAGACAAAATTCAAGACGGTCTCACGTTTGACACACTCGTTGCACCTGATGTTGATGCTATTATGCTCGACGCATCGCAGAGACCATCCTATGACCAAGGTATGGGCTCTGTTTTTAGCCGTCTCGGAATTATAACTGAACACTTCTACCAGACGATCAGACGGGTATTGACGCAAATTACCACAATGGCTGCGAATTTACCGCCGACAAGATTGAAGGTAGGAGCTTGTGGACGGACGACTTCCGCAACGCCCATCGCCGGCGCTCTCGATAAAATACAGACCTATCCTTTCGTTTCGTTCACTCTGGAACGAGACAAATTGCTATCTCGAAAACCGAGTTTCTGGATGGGACGAGGCTTCTACTGTCAAATTTTGGTACGCTCACTGCATCTGATGTAGGAACTATCCTTGACGCATCACAACCTTCATCCTTCGGGAAAGGTACACCACCTTCGTCCGCCTTTCTCATTGGCACTCTTCGCTCACCATTGTATCATCTTCCCCTAGGTGGTCAAACTATCTATGACACGAATTATCACAGAGGTCGCGAAATAATCTTGGAGAACTTGGAAGTTTACGCTAAAGATCGTGAACAGAGCCTTATGAACAAGATTAAACGGTCCCTTCTTTCTACATTGTTCGTCGGTAAAAGCATAGAACTTGCCTTGTACAAGTTGGCACTGTACAAGAAAGGAGGAAATTTTGACTGGCACCGTGAAATTCGTTTCTGAGTTCCATTTGTCCGGATGCACAGACTAACTACAAATCAATAAGGTGAATTATACAGTAATACGGATTACGCTGGAAATGATGCTCAAAGTGGCAGCGCTATATTTCGGAGGTGGGATGTTTGTATTGAACGACTTATCTTCATACGGATCGTGGTTTACGAGACTAGGAATAATGTTTCGGAGCAGCTATAATTTTGCCTAGTGTTGTTGATGGTTCCGAGCCGACATCGCTTCTGACTTAACGTTCTGGTGAATATGCAGACTATCACATTTGACGCGTCAAAGCCTCGAACACCCGGCACTCCTTTCAAGGATCCGAGTCTCCAAGTCCCATCTTGGGCGTCGGAGACAGGATCGGCTCCGGAGACACTTGTATCGTTGAGAATTTGCTTGCAGATGACTTGGCTGGCATCGCTTTCGAGAGTTTGAAGCGCGAAGTGCATTGGCATACGATGTTTCATAGAGGTTAGCTGTTGTAAAAGTTGAAGTGACATTGAGACGCTAAGGGGGGGAATTGGCAGGGGGTGAAGTTCCGCGACTTGTCGCTGTGGAAGGAGTCCTCGAAGAAGACGGGAGGTTTGTTATAAAATGTTCCTGTCTGGCCCTTTTTGACTGACTGTTGTGTCACCAGCTTCCCACTCTACCGCCACCCCGCTGACGAATCTCCTCTTCTCCGTCCATTCATGCCTACCATTTCCCTCATTGCCCAAGCTGTTTCAAAGCCAGTAAACCACCCCGTTAACCACGCTCTGATACAGCACTATCGTAGCGGGGACGATTATATCTCCGAGCATTCTGATAAAACTATCGATGTCGTCTGAGGTTCCAGCATCGTGAACGTCAGCATCGGCGCCCAGCGCGTGATGTTTCTGCGCAGGAAAAAAGATCTCTCTCCTACGAAATGTGCTCAGCGTATCCCGCTACCGCATAATTCTATGTTTGTTATGGGGCTTAACACGAATCGCGAGTGGCTGCATGGTATTCATCGAGACAACCGTCCGGTGAAGACTAAGAGCGATGTCGAGACTGCTTTTGGAGGCGAGAGAATTAGCTTGACGTTTAGGCATATTGGCACTTATTTGACGAACGATTCGAGCTTGATTTATGGGCAAGGGGCTGTCGGAAAGACGAGAAATTTGGCGAAACCAGTAGTTAATGGGGTACCCGAGGAGTCTCAAAAGTTGATTGATGCGTTTGGGAAGGAGAATCACGAGAGCTTATTCGATTGGGATGAGGCTTATGGGCAGGGATTTGATGTCGTGAATTATACAGTGTGATATCCACAGGAGTTCTTCCCGTGTAACTAGTAGATGTACGTCTAATATCTTGTTTCAACACCTTTCCAAGCTTGCTCCCCGCCATTATCTATCATCCACCTCGCAGTATCGATTAGTGTCTCTTCCGGCGATCTGAACTTCATGTCAAGTGCTCTTTCAGTCTCACTGCTATCGATGGTGAACACGGGCGTGTTGACAAGATCCACTGGCACAGAAGACAATAAGTGTGCGCGTTCAGGAAACTCCTTGGCAAAAATTGATACGAATTCCGACGGAAAAATAGAAACGTTAGAGCAGCCCTACGACATTTAAATTGATTGTAAGACTCCTGATGTGCAGCGCTTACTAGAACAAATCGACGTCCGTTGGCTTCATCTTTTTCGACGGCGCGCACGAAAGTCGTGCACAGGTCTCGAATGTCGACCAAAACCTAGTAGAGGAAGCCATGTGAGAACATCAGGAAGGGCAGGTGCAAAGCTCACAGGGCCTCCAGATGTAGTTTGGAAATTCCAGTTGGCACAAAAAAGCGGCCCGGCTAGCCCTACTTCGTTTTTAGTCGACCAGTCAGACTCAGAGCAAAAGTTGTACATTGGTTAGAGTTGTTGTTAATACCGAAAGGATCATGGCCGTGGGTCGCACCACATCCTCGATGTGCCCACTGAGAAAGAATGGCTCACTTTCGCTAAATGGGGAAACAAATACGGTATACTTTTCATCATTTATCCAACATCATTACTTACTCAGTTTTTCATCAGGCGACATAATTTCGGTTTCCATCTTTGGGCGGCACCTGGTTGTCGTAAATTCTACTCAGACGGCTATCGACATACGGGACAAAAAAAGTTCTATCTACTCAGATAGGACCGGTCGGCGGAATGGGCGGTGAGCTTGTCGGATGGAAAAAGTCTCTCGCTCTTATGCCATATGGAGCGCGTTTTCGAAACCACCGTCGGTTAGCCCATCAGCTTTTCGGCAGCAACGCGACCATGAAGCGATTTCTGCCGATGTTGGAGCAGGAGACGCGTCGTTGTCTGAACAGGATCGTCACTGCACCCGAAAGCCTTTCTGAACATATCCGGAAGTGAGTCTGGTTGGCTCCGTCGGAAGTGCCATTGATAATTGACGGAGTAATAAGGACTGCCGCAGCCGTAATTCTGCAAATCTCGCATGGATACATGATCCAAGAGAAGGATGACCCATTCGTGGAGCTGGCTGAACGAACGGTGAACCAATTGTCCCTCGCAGCGACATCTGGCGGCTTCTTAGTCGACCTTATTCCAATCCGTAGGCTTTGACGCTTCCTAAGATCCTCTCTGCATCTAGGAAGCTCCATAAGCCGCATCTCAGACTGGTTTCCTGGAGCTGGATTCAAACGGACCGATGGAGCGTGGGCTTCAGCACTGAACGAATTCGTGGAAAAGCCACATAACTATGTAAAGCAAGAAATTGTTAGTGGAATATTATCTTATACCTAGCTGTAGCGACTCTATACGCCGGTCAGCGAACCATTCATTAATTCCGACTCTCTATAATTCCTCCCGTTTTCTGTAGGTGGAGCTGACACAGTAAGTTCCTCTTTCCTCATTCAATGTTCGACCTGATCATAGATTCAGACCGTCCCATCTATCTACACTTTTTTTAAAGCGATGCTTCTATATCCCGACGTACAGGCAAAGGCACAAGCCGAGATCGACGCGGTGATCGGGGATGGGAGGTTACCTCGATTCGATGACCGAGAGCACCTCCCGTATGTCAATGCACTAGCGCTCGAAGTCACCCGATGGCACACCGTAGCACCTGCAGGTCAGAATTGAACACATGCATTTTTTCCGCAGTTTTTCACCACGTTTTGGTACCTAGGCCTTTCCCATTGTGTTACTGATGTTCAATTCGGTTATTTCATTCCGAAGGGTTCCTTGGTCATCGCGAACATCTGGTATGAAAGTGTCAATCCCGTTTGAAACCTGACCTAATGTGCATACCCATTGACAGGAGAATGCTTCATGATCCTGAGGTATATGATCAGCCATTTGAGTTCAAGGCAGAGAGATTTATCTGAACAGAGATCAAGGAGCCTGAATTTGATCCTAATAAATTGGCATTTGGATTCGGCCTATGGTAATTCCTCTGCACGGATCTGAGTGTGCATTTGGTTTATTATAACCTTTGCAGGATTTTCTGGAATTTAGGTGGGCTCAGAAGGAAGGTATATTCCGTCATACAGAGTAGGGACAGTGGGGGTTCCGAGTCAAGTCGATAGGGTACGAAAATGTCAATGTATAAGGTAAGCAGTAAATATATATATATAAATAGAATGTGACAATTAAGCCATGAAAACCAAATCTCAACAGGATTTGCCCGGGTATGGTTTCTCAGGCACATGCCACCGAAGATTCATATTGATCAAGAATCCAGGAAGGGTTCTAGCCGACGCCTCGATATTTATTTCATGTGCTATGGTGTTAGCGGTCTTCAACATCTCGAAATATTCTGAAAATGGCATTGTTTTTGAGCCGGACACAGAGAATACCTCAGGGACTATCAGGTAAGACACGAGCTTCCTCGTGTCATGGCATGGTGTTTCTCAAAAGGCGTATCTTGAAGCCGTTGTCGGGCAGACGACCAAATAAAACGGGAACTGGACGACGTTCTCAGACTAGGTTGGTTACGAGTTGAGAAGCTCGAAAAGAGGGTGACGATAGAGACACGGAAATCAAGGCGAGTACGGCACGCAAGCTGTGAAAAAGAAGGTCAGGAGACAAAAGTGGAGAAAAAGTTGTCGGTATAGACCTACCTCTGGCAAGAAGAGTAAATGTTTTCATTTAGCCATCCGGCGTCGTTCAAGTGCACGATAAAAGCTAGGAGCGAGAAGGCTTTAGAACTCATCAATGAGGAAAGGTCTGTGTGAAGGAATGCCGATTTAATCACAGACCTACCAACAGTGAAGGACTTATTATCTGCTGCCGGCATTTTTATTTTGTCCATGTAGAAGCTACCGTTGATACGGACTGTTCTAAGACAGAACGTTATCCTGATGTTCATGTTTCAAGAATCACAAAGCCCGGATCAGAGACGTAAATGATATCGCGGATTAAGTACCAAGTGTCACGAGCCGCCTTACCGGTACACCGGTCCGTACCAAGGGCCGAGCATACCGCCAGGAAGAATTTACTTCCGGAGCCGCAACTTAAACTTAGACTACGATTTATCGTCTTCGTATGTTTCTGTGGCCCAAAACCACAGCCATCTTTCTCATAATTCACAGTATAAATACGTTGTAGTCCCTAAAGCGCTGTTTATTCAGATTATTTGCCACGAGCTGGCCGTTGTTTCCGTCTTCTCGCCGCCTCCAAATTCTACATGATAATCGAAGGCCAAGAAGTGGTCTCTTGGACTGCGCTAGAAGTCAACGACGTGGCCGGGACAAGATTTCCGCTGCCCTGGACCGCGTTTCGTATATATCTTACCAACCGAGCTGTCTATTCCCGACCGCTCATGATCTCCTCGGAATCTCGAGGTTATGTGTTGCAAAGCCTTGGCGCTGATGGATCCATCATGGAACGGCAGATAAGGTAATGCGCATCTCAAGAGGACTACAACATCTGGACACCACAGAAAATGTCTGCTGGATATCCAGAACAGCGACAAAAAAGGACTCCCTCAAAGACCCTCTTTAAAATTAATTTCCATTGCCTACGGCTGTAGCAAAAGCTTGAAAATTGAACGAACCACCCACCCCGGCGGTCCCATGCGCGGTCTCCGACCATTATTGCCCTTTACTGTGTTCATCCATGAACTCTATGCGCCATAGTTCAGCCTTCTCCGCCGATGATAGAGTAAAAGGCAGTCTTGGACGTACCTCATTATTTCCGTCTCCTTTTCCGAGATTCGTCCATAAATTGATGCTCACTCAATATTTCTACAGGGTACGTCCAACGTGCTTCTCATAGACGTGCCCAATGCACGGATGATATCCCCCGGGTCCTATATTCCTCTGTCCTTAGCCAGGGCGATCATACTTCTGAGGTGGTGCAGCTTCAGGTTATCCAAAGCACGTCATGCTGGAACGGGATTTACTTCTTAACACGGGAAGGTTGACGCGTTGCGAGGAGTGCTGAAAGTGCGGCACAGGCTTTTCGTACGAACACGCCTTTACGAAGAGAATCTTTCCCTCTGACAAAAATTACGGTCCTGTACGAGTATATCGAGAACGGAGCTAATAATCAATGCTTGGAACGTCAACAGAGCTGCGGGTTTTATTCTATTGGTTACACTAGTATGGTATAAAATGAAGCATCGAGAAGAGCCCTCTCTCTTGAAGCACAACAGCTATGTTGTTCTCGTTTTTCCTTGTTTCGATCCCCATCGTTCTTGCTCAGCAGCATAATGCCGAACCGACTGTCGATGGGTCGTGTGATGACGGCTGGCAGTCGTTCCCAAATGTCACTGATGCTACTGCATATCCGAACTGGATTATAGATGAAGAACTGGGAGCTTATATGGTGCTTACTTTCCTGCCTTTGGTTCCTTTATCAGGCCGGTGACACAAACTCGTAATGCTTAGCCTGTATACCAAACTACCGGTCTCAACGCGTCCGAAGTTACAAGAGCAGTTATCATCTTACACGGAAAGGTCAGCCATGTTCTTACTCCACGACCCGAGCTGACGTTGTTGCAAGGAGAGAACCTGTTGGACCGGTGGGTTTCGTCCGTCTACGAAATCATGCTTGCGTCATAACCCGAACCAGATTGGAATGCGGCAAACAATGCACTATACAATGCCACCTACGACGATTCTACCATCGAGCGCGACGAGATATCTATCTTGAGCCCATGCTTTTTTGACGAGGATGACTTGGAAGCGGGCGCAGCGCAAGACGGCCAGCTCCTGTGGGGAAAAAGGACATGGATGAGCGGACATCGTAATGTCGCACCGGACTCAATATCCGACTTCAGCAGCTTTGATGTTCTCGATGCCTTGGTGGACTATTATATGAACACGACTCTCTACCCTAATTTGAAGGTGAGGTTTCTGCCTTCGCTATCTGCCATCTGCTAAGTATACATTTCCAGGTTGTCGTCGTTGCGGGTCATTCAGCTGGTGGTCAAATGAGTCAGCGCTATGCTGCCTTGAGGATATCAACTGAGAATGATGATCAGCTACATTTCTGGATAGGTAAGTCCATCATACGACAAGACTCTTATTATTTACACACGTGTAGCCAATCCGGCATCACTATTGTGGTTAACGTCGGATCGTCCGGTTCCCAACGACGACTGTAAAGGGTTTGACAGGTACAAGTATGGGTTGGCTTCCAAATACCCCGCATATGCAACTGCGAACGCAAGGGTTCTCGGAAGAGAAGGCATCATCGAGAGATACAATGGGCGCACACTTAATTATGCCTGGGGGCTGGTGAGTGATAGTTGTACGATCCCGGAAAGGCGCCAAAAGTATACGTTTTCAGAAAGATAATGGCGATGGGGATACCCGTTGTCAAGCAATGGTAAATTCTCCTCTTCATTCACTTTTTTACAATGATAAATGGCTCCTCACAGACTCAGGGAAGCACTCATCTAAAAAGGGGCAAGAATTTTGTTTCGATGCTGGAGGATATGGGTGGTATACCTAATCTCACCACTATTGATTGGGTACCCAAGGTACGCCATGACACCGAGAAAATGATGGCAAGCGATGCAGGTGTCGATAAAGTGAGTGCATACATTTGGCGAACCCATTCCAGTAATGATTCATGGTTGGGCAGTTGTTCCGGTATATGGGAAATAGCACGGACGCTTAGTCTTGGCATTCAACTGGAGGGTCGATTCGGAAACTATTGCTAAAACCATTGCCAAGACACGTTCAGGTGACAATACATGACAAGCAAAAGTTTGAAAATGGAGGTACTGACGTTGTTTCAGGGTGGCGTTATGGATCACTTTAACAACGCTGTTACGCAGTTTACATTGTACCCCAAATATCCCCTCTCTCGATGTTTGGGAGAAAAAACACGTAAACATGTGAAACATGTCCATCCGCAAGTTAAGCGCGCTGGAAAACGACACCGCAACTAAAGACTTGGTAATCCAACAATCAACGACTGAATATTTTTCGAGACAGTTGAAGAGCTCGACACCAGCAATTTCGACCGAGGATATATCGGACGAAAAGAAAATTGCGTCTCAGTTTGGAGTTGATGCTCTACAACTCCGAGTCGGAAATGTCAATGACATTTTGACGTTGTCGTTATTGACAGTATCTGGTGGTAAATCGATTGTGACATTCTAAGAGGTTAGAGGTTAGAGAAATCGGTATATGATCCCAATAAAGAACACCGACACCGCTGTTCTAACACTGTAAAGTATCACAGACCATAACAATACCGTGCCGCTGTGATATCCGCCAGGTGCGAACTGGGGACGTCTGTCTCACGGACTTGATACAGTTACGAGGCCATAAAGGAAGCAAGTGGATGAGGGATCGTAAGAATAATTCAGGTGAGTGAATAATCAATCCGGAGACATCCAGTTTTACTTGGAACCAAGAGGTGGTAGCCGTTTGCAATCAGGACTAATATTCAGCGAAGATGAAGTTCAAGGAAGGACTCACCCCCCAAGGTCATAAATGAGCTTCGGGCTAAACAACTGCTGAGTAAGTATCATTACCATAGACCTCTATTAGAGAAAAGGAGTAAAAGTAAATATAAATAAAATGCTCTAGCCGATTCAAGCTTTAACCTCCGCCTCTTGTGCCCGCCACCGGGCAACAGTTTTTCTTCGCATCAGCCACTGGAACAGCGGTATGGTGATCATGGATATCGCAGTCCACGCTATCAGAATACCAAATTGCATTCCGACTAATGAAAAATATAAGAATCACCTCACAATACAGGGTATGACCACTCACGTTGATTCTTCGTTCCAAATATGATTGTTCTCACAGCACACGACAGGTTATAAAATGGGAACGCGTATCCATAGCGGTATAAATGGGGGAGGACGTCAATGGGCATGAAGCACACCGAGACGTTGACTATGCTCATGTGTTAGAAAAGTTTCAAACAGCCGGAAGGTCAACTACTCACTAATAATCCAGAATATCATAAAGAAAGCGACGAATCTCAAAGTCATAAGGGTCATCATGGCCTCAAGCGCCAGCCCCACCGCCAGCATCCCAACGAAGTTTGCCATCCAGAAAACGAGGAAGCCGGCGGGTCCCAATCTGCATGAGTCTATATTAGGGGGGCAATAAGAGGAAGAGAGGAGGACAGAAACTCACACTCTGGAGAAGTTTACTTGGAAGGCTCGGCTAAGCAGCGAATAAAATAGTGACAGCGAAAAATATGCGATGAAACTAGAGGATATCCGGACCCTAATAAGGGAGCCCGTCGTTAATGATTTCTCTAGACCCGATAGTTCACGAGCAGCAGCGCAGAAATTCTAGTTGGCCGTACTTTCAGGTAGCGATTCAAAAGACTGTGAAGGAAGACATACCACGATGAAGAATGACAACACAAGCACATAGATGAGACCGACGAAGGTGATGGCGCTAGCACTACAAGGGCTGTCAGAAGGCATAACCTCTGAAAACAAAAGGCTACATACACAGGTATATCAAAAGGGCGCAAGTTGTTGATGGTATAACCGATGGGCTCTGTTAAGACTTGAGGCGCGGTTGTCGATATTGAAGCCAGAACGCTCGACGACGACGATCCGACTTGCTGAAGAAAGGATTGGGCAAAGGCCTGAGAGATTGCGGCTAGCGTTGTTTGCACAGATGGGCGTATTAGAGAACGGCTTAAAGGAAAGAACGTGAGATGGCAGGATGTAACGAGAAGTTGATTACTACGCACTATGCATTTTCGTTGCGTGCTTCAACAGCATAAACAGTGATTGCTTCAGAGCCGTCATATGAAGAATTTACTGAGGAAACAGCATATTGTAGTGCGGTCGTCGCGTTGGAATTGACTAACCAGAAAGTGAGCAGGGCGAAATCAAAGAAAATTAGGTCTTACCAACAACGGCAATCCAAGTCTTCTGTTCAACGACTAGATTCGCAATCTCCTCCACACTAGAGAACTCACTCGATGGGCGTTCTGTCCAAGTTACTTTCGACGATGACGACACAAGGCCTCGTACGATCGCATTTCCCACTGTCGATCCATCAAAGTCCTACCGCAACGTTCAACCGGAGAATACTAAATAGACTAAGGACAAGGTACTCACCACAACCCAACCCTGCAAAGTATGAGCTGGCAATTTCCACAGGGCACCCCAGTATATTGAAAACACACAAAACATAACAACGGTCATAGCCACTGTTCCACTGGCGACAATCTTCATATACAGACTCCGTGCTGCCTTCATCGAAGCAGATTTATCGGTGAATTGCGACGAGTACATGGTTGGACACTCCTCATTTTTGAGGGATGAGGTTCGCGTTAGAGCTGACTCCATGCTGTGAAGTCGGACCATCAACCCCCCACTAGCCCAGTTCGGACATGCTATAAGCATTCTCTGGTGGTCGAGGCTCTGTCCTAGAATGGGCATCACCACCGGCTAGCGACGAAATAAGGATGACGTTACCCCGTATATCCGCGACCCGGACCATGTTCTTTGGAGACTAATTCCAAGATATCAAATGTCGGTTACTATATTCTAAATACAAATATACCCGACAAACCGGCAAGAAAGGGGCCTGAGGACAGGCACCTCCGCGTTTTAGTAGATTGTTTACTAGTAGTCAATCAAAGGCGAACCAAAAAATTGATTGTCATGATATGTGAGAATCTAGAAGAGATAATTTGTGCCGGATTTTGAAAAAAAAAACGTCGAGTTTCTTAGTCAGGAGTTTGAACGAAAAAGCACAGCAGCATAACAGGCCGGTAGCGCCGTCCATGATCTACCTATCTTCCTCGCAATGATGAGGGACAATCGTGTGCCCATGGTGGTGAAATGGAAAGGAGTGATCACGTCATAGCACATCATCAATTTGGTTCCTCGGATAAAAGCTTCCGCGGAACATCAAGTCACTTTGTGGGAATACTACTGCTACTGAACATTCACCAATTGGGTAGAAACTTTGTCGATTAAGTACCTGGTGGCTTTGGTTTTCATTGCCGTCGACTTAGTTGACGGGCCACTAGTTTTCTTCGACTGGGACTCGCCACCAGCAGTATCCGTAGACTGTTTCGGCGGATAGTCTGAGTCAGAAGACTTGACAACACGAAACTACCTTATCCTCCCCATTCTCTTCATCATTCCAAACTAGACTTCCCACCTTGACATCACCATACACCATCATAGAAAGGTTGTTCGCCGTCCTCGCAGCAGCAGCAGGTATCTGGTGATCCCAGGTAAATCTGACGTCAAAGGTGTCGCCAGCTTGAGCTCCAGTTGCGAGATAAAATCGTTGGAGCTGTTGGCCCCCCTCCGCCTACGTGGTTTGTTCAATCGTTTAGGAAGAAACAGCACTGCAAGGTGGTATTCATACGGCTGAAATACGGTTGTCGAGGGAGTGGCCGGGTATAATCTAATACCATCGAGGTAGGTACACATGGTCTTAATGAAGCAATTATCACTCACATCTTAACTCTAGATGTTCGTTGTCGCTGTGAAACTGTCCGTATACGGACAGTGGCATGGACACGGTACAGATTTGATATCAACCGTACCGTACCATAGGCAAGAATTTGGTACGGTGCAAGGAGTGTTACCCCCGAGAGTCGACGACGGCAGCAAGAAATTGGTGAAAGATCACAGCTTCTTGGGCGAACACATAGCGGGCCTACCGTGTGCACAGAACAACGTGTGTGGCCCAAGCTGATACTAGATACCACAGCGGGAGGTATCAAGCATCAGCCTAGTGAGGGCAAGCAGGAGATTGTCAGTCTGACCTGATGCATCAGTAGCCTGAACTCTAATCTGTTGGGACAGTTTCTCAGACGACAGTACCACTTACAAGGCGTTCACGCTTCACAACTAGGTGAGCAGATAGTGCGGCAACTTTAACACCCGAGGCACCCTTGATACCCGCGTTCATCAAGGAGTGATCCTTTCGGTATAATATAAGGATACCACCGCACATCCAAAGACCCATCTTCTTATTACAACATCAAAGAAAGGCACAGGCTCTCCGACAAATTTCTATCCAAGCTCATCGACGAACCCATAGCATGGTGCTTCCATCCCCTTCACTATACGCCTCCGAGATCGCCCTCTTCGTCACCAGCCAGCCCTCAAGAGAATGGCTGGCCAAAGCCAAGAAAGAGGCAGATGACGGGGACGAGTTCAGGACCGCAACTCTAACGCTCATCACAGGCGACTTTACCGGATGGTGCATCCTGAAGCTCGCCAAATACCTTGTCGACAACTTCGCTGGCCCAGAATGCCCAGTGGCTTGTGGTTCGTTCGCTGTAGCAGATGAAGAGAGCGAGGAGACGGATTCTCTCCTCTTGGTTGAGTTGAGTCCCGAGTACTTGCGCGGCGACCATAAAAAAAATCGGGATTGAAGGAACGATGCGGGCAGGACCAGAATGTGGAGTTGAACTGCCGATAATATTTCACGGTGGGATCAAAAGCATTGCTATCTTTGCAGGAGCGCCTGGAGAAATTCTGTGGATGAGGGGTCCGGGTGACGTTGAGCAGGGAGAGGGTTCCAACGCTTGATGAGAAAGTTTCCAGTGAAATAATTCAAAATCAAGTAGTGTGGGACTGAATATCAACACCGTGATACTGTGATTTCGACGTGCATCACTTTTCAGGTTCAAGATACCCTCGGCGCCGACTGTGGTTCGTGATAGAGCTAGAATCGCCAAAGAGACGCAGATTCGGGGGGGGGGGGTGAGAGTGGACAATGGCACAGAGGCAAACCGCAGTCCTAGTCCCAGTACCTGGGAAAGTCAAGGAAAAAGTGATATCTCTGACACTCGGAGGGATCGGTCCGAGCCACGCTTATCGGAGTTCAAAAATAAGAGCAGAGGATATGGCCTGAACCTGAATCATCCTCGAACTCGAAAGCTCCAGTACTGAAGCATGGTGGATACGAGTCGGACACCTCGACAACGTGAATGGTATCCATTTTCCAAGGGAGCGGGGGAGTTTGATGACTCGAGCTCGCACAACCATGGCATACTAGGGTTGAAAACCCGTAAATATTGGACAATCAGTATGACGTGCCGTAGCTTTCCTCTACTTACAAACGGAAAAGGCGCTTGTTCGGAAAATCGTTCTTCAGCGACGGCCTGTGATTAAATGGTCGACATTCATTCCTCAATCACATTTCTTCGTTGATGAGTCCTAAAGCCTTCCCGCTTCTCGCTTTGATCATACACTTGAACGGCGTCGGATGGCTAAATGAAAACGAGAAGTGCATTGAGAAATACTACTCCAAGACACGACGAAGCTACTTTCTTACCTGATAGACCCTGCGGTATGCTCCATGTCCGGCTCAAAAACAACGCCATTTTCAGAATATTTCGAAATGTTGAAGACCGCTAACACCATAGCACATGAAATAAATATCGAGGCATCCGCTAGAACCATTCCTGGATTCTTGATCAATACGCATCTTAAGCGAGCGCCTGAGAAACTATACCCGGGCAAATCCTGCAAAGGTTATAATAAACCAAATGAATAGTCAGGTATGTGCAGAGGTCTTACCGTCGTCCGAATCCAAACGCCAATTTATGGGGATCAAATTCCGGCTCCTTGATTTCCGTCCGGATAAATCTTTCTGGTCTGAACTCGAATGGCTGATCGTATACGGCAGGATCGTGAAGCATTTTCCTACCGACGGGTGTGTATATGAGATTAGGTTCCAAACGATTGACATCCTCATACCAGATGTTCGCATAGATCAATGATCCCTTGGGAATAAAATAACCGAATTGAACATCATCCTCAGTAACGCGGTGAGGAAGGCCTGGGCACGAAAAGGTGGTGAGGATCTAGGGTGATGTGAATGTATTCAATGCTAACCTGTTGGACCTACAGTGTGCCATCGGGTGACTTCGAGCGCTAGTGCATTGACATAGGGGAGGCGCTCCCGGTCGTCGAATCTCGGTAACCTGTCGTCCCCGACTACCGCGTCGATCTCGGCTTGTGCCTTTGCCTGTACGTCGGGATACAGAAGCATCGCTTTGAAAAAAGCGTAGATAGATGCGACGGTCTAATCCACTATCAGACCAAACACTGGAAGAATGAACCAAAACAGACAGTATCGGCCCCACCTATAGAAAACAGGTGAGGAGTTGAAAACAGCTGTAAATTAATGAATTGTTCACTGACCGGCGTACAGAGATCCTGCAAGCCATTTGATATCAGATTCTTCATCAGCATCCACCCCGCGCTCAAGCTGACTCAAGGTAAAAGAACGACGGGCCGTTCCAGCTGCCTGTACATCGTTGAGACACAACGCGGCATGAAATGTTATTCCACCTACCATTTCCTGTTTTACATAGTTATGTGGCTTTTCTATGAACTCGTTAAGTGTTGAGCCCCACTCCCGAGCGGTCTGTTTGAACCCAGCTCCAGGAAACCAATCTGGAATGCGGGTCACTATAGTACGGAGTTTTTCAGAACTGGAGAGAATTGTCAGATGAATTAAGACGTACAGATTGGAATAAGGTTGACTAAGAAGCCGCCTGAGGCCATTGCGAGAGAAAATTGCTTCAGTGTTCGTTCTGCCAGCTCCACAGATGGGTCATCCTCCTCTTGGATCATGTATCCATGCGAGATTTGCAGAATAATGGAACCGGCAGTCCTTATTACGCCGTCAGTTATCGGTACCACTTCCGACAGAGTGACCAGAGCGACTCACTTTCGGATATGTTTAGAAAGGTCTTCAGGGACAGTCAAGATCTTCTCCAGAGAACGACGCGTCTCCAGCTCCAACATCGGCAGAAATCGCTTCATGAACGCATTGTTGCCGAAGAGTTGATGCGCTAACCGACGCTGGTTGCGAAAACGCGCCCCATACGGCATAAGAGGGAGAGACTCCTTCCATCCGACGAGCTCGCCGGCCATTCCGACGACCGGTCTGTCTGAATAGATAGAACTTTTTTTGTCCAGTATGTTGACAGCCATCTGAGCAGAATTTATGATGACTAAACGCCGCCCAAGGATAGAAACCGAAGCTATATCACCTGACAAAAACCGAGTAAGTAAGGATCTCGGTGAAATGATGGAAAACACACCATATTTCTCTCCCCATTTTGCGAAGGTGAGCCATTCTTTCTCAGAGGGCATGTCGAGAAGGTTCCCGATGAACGGGAGCCCTCTCGGACCTGGAGGAAATTGCATAGCCCGGCGGTTTAGGCGGAAGAGGCGCCACGCAAGGACTAGACCAACGAGCGCGATCGCAATATCAAGAGTAACAAGAAAGCTTAACATTCTGAAAGGACTTTGTTTAATGACTTGGATGTAGAAACTGATCCTTATAAGGCCGTTCCTCATGTAAGGATTTCCCATCGGCGGTATTGAGATCCTGAACTGGGCAATCAGCAGACTACGTGAAGTGCGAGAGATCTTTCCGCGGCAAAGGTGAAAGGATGCCATTCATATTTCCCGGAGCTCATGTCGCCCGAGGTCCGGGGTCTACAACATATGTATTATGGACACTATAGGAGGCGTGGACTCCGAGGGAATCCCCGAGAAGTTTCGAGACCTGTAATAATAGTCAGGATTCAGAAAGTTCAAAGTTGGATATCGATGCTCACCATAGTTTCAACGAGTAATATGCCCAGAAACCCGAGGAGGAGAAAGACATCGTCCTGCCTAGTCCCAGCCTATCCAGTCGATGCACTTGTCTGGTTGCCGCGTTTTTAGAAATGTATACGCGCAGCATGGTTTTCGCAGACATTTACTAGTCTTGCTCTCTTCTAGGCAACCGCACCGTGTATCATGTAGAGGGGGGGTTAGTACCTTCAAGTGGAACTTGTGAGTTCCAGAACGAATTCATCATTCAGCGGGTTGTACACCAACATCGGGGCCCGGGTTTGGTGATTTTGGACCAAAAGGTATGATTTCGACTCATATTCCACGATGCCGAACCTTGACACGGCTAATGATGGGGAAAGTTCTCGGCACACCCATTTACAAGTAAAGTGTTACTGTCACAATCACATACGCGACTGTGACGACGCGATACCCCCCGACTCTCCCCATCACCACTACTACACTCGCCCAGTATGGTTGCTCTCATTCAACGCCCTGCTCCCACTTTCAAGGCTGCTGCCATCGTTGATGGTCTCTTTGAAGACGTCTCTTTGACAGACTACCTCGGCCAATGGTACAAGCTTATCAGAAAATTTCAGGGAGTGGCGATAACTGATTTTTTTTTTTTACTAGGGTCGTCCTTTTCTTCTACCCTATGTACGCACCTAAGCAGCATATATGCTGTCCACGTCGAGGCTGACGATGATCAGGGACTTCACCTTTGTCTGCCCCACTGAAATCCTGGCGTTCAACGACGCCCTAGCCGAGTTCAAGGCGCTGGGCACCAAGGTTCTCGGTACGTGCAGCTCTTGCATCAACCAGTTCTACCTTTTTATATGCGCGTTGCATAGGTGTCTCGACCGATTCTCAGCACTCTCACTTCGCCTGGGCCAACCAGCCCCGCAAGGAGGGTGGTCTCGGTCCCGACCTCAAGCTTCCTCTTATCGCCGACCGAAACATGTCCATCTCTCGCGATTACGGTGTCCTTCTCGAGGAGGAGGGTATCGCTCTCCGTGGGCTCTTCATCATTGACCCTAAGGGTATCCTCAGGTATGGCGCCACCCTTACCTAATTTTTTTTCAGTTTTTCTTGACAACCCGTCGCCAGGCAAATCACTGTCAATGACCTGCCCGTCGGTCGCTCTGTCGACGAGACTATTCGCCTCATCAAAGCCTTCCAGTTCACCGTACGTTATCTGACTAAATTTATCGTTGTGATGCTCCATCTCATGTCATATATAGGATAAGCACGGAGAAGTTTGCCCCGCCAACTGGCATGAAGGTGACAAGACCATGAAGGCTGATCCCAAGGGTTCCAAGGAGTACTTTGCGGCGGTGGGTGATGATGGTCCCAACAAGCGTGCCCGTCAGGCTTAATTGCAGTTAGACGCATGGAGGCAACGGCACCAAGAGGAAAGCAAATCAGATAGAGTCTTAGAAGACAAATAGAACTAGATCAACCCATATCCCCCCAACTCGATGTTTTTCTTGATCCACACCACACGTGCGTCGGTTTTTATTCCTTTGAGAGGTTCTTTGTGTCGCGGTTTTATGGTTATCCTTCTATTGTATATCATTCACGGCTCTGCCGCAAAATATCGCGGTTGTTGTTCTCTGCTATCTACACAAATGTTATTGCTGTCGTTTAGTATTCTCGGGCTATTTGTGCAAACCTGTGAAATCTTCGTTCTCGGCCGGTTGGTGTGCGCTCAATACCTCTACCACGAGAATCCATCTCACCGCTCGGCTGAACCATCATCACACCTATGTTTGACAAGTAGTACTTAAGCTCACTGTTGTCACAACGAGCATACCATGTCAAATTTATCATTAGTTCTAAGCACTATACGATATATATATGCTGAGGCTTGTCAACCCGAACACTGATCCTAGTAGAATCGAGCTGATCCGGACCGGAGGAGTCTGTCTTCGTCCGCGCACCTAACCTCAAAGTACCCGGCGGATACGATGCCGTACTTCAGAACGTTCCCGCCCTTACCGCCCATGCGTCGTCTGCTGGAACGTCTCGATAGCTACGTCCAATGTGTATCGCAAGCACACGAGAGTGATGATCAGTGTGGGATAGATAGCCTATCAACGAGTGCAGATTAGGCGCGAGAAGGGGGGACCGGACAGGCATCGTACCGTCAACTGCGAGAGGATATCTACGACAGGGTAGATACCATTGGATCCGCACACAAAAGTGATGATAGCCACGAACTAATCGATTCGCTCAAATCGACGATCCCCAAGGTCCAAACAATCCAAAATGCACATACCCACGTACAAGAATAGAAGACGCCAGACTCGATTAGGATAGCGAGGATGCCATTCTGCCTTCGGAATCTGGTCATGAGCGTCTCGCCCGTAACGGTGCGGATAAATTTATTATGAGACCTTGACATCAGACGTGAGCTCGAAGAGAAGAAAAGTGCAGGAAACAGACCATGCGCGGTACGCTACGAGCGACGTCGTCCAGAGATTCGTTGTCACCGTCGAGCTGATAAACGCGATGACCCAAGCTCTCAGAGAGGGAATGTCGAAGGCGGTGATCTCAGGAGGAGTCATCGTGTAGGCTCGTAGTATCCCCACAGCGGCGGCTTCAAGTTGGTTCATCATTAGGGTGGCATGTGAGCGAAGAGTAAAGTTGTCCTCACCAAGCGTGCCCGTAAAAAGTGTACCGGAAGTGAAGATAACCCACCGTTTCCGACTCCACAATACCCAGGCTCTCCATATGACGACTCCGTCCCCGATGATTATCTACGGACATATTCTCTTTAACAATTTCGGTTAAGATAGCATAACGAGGATTACGTTGACACTTTCCAGCAACATCCGAGAATATATAATCGGCAAATCATTGTCTTCCGAAACCGTGGGATGGTCTGCAGCATGTCCAAAGAGAAACGCGTGAAACTTTTGTTCGAAGCTGAGTGCCATATGTGAGGCTGCTACCATCCACATTATGGTGTTCAACACGGTCATCACGATGATGACTGTAGTTCTCTTTCTTTTGAACCTGCTCCAAAATCATTAACGCGTCAACACGAAATTCATGTTTGGAACCTACAACAACAGGTACGTCGACACCAGCCAGAGAGCGGTGTACATTCCTGGATGTTCCTTTCTGAATACTTCTCGTGAGGATGCAATCTGCGAAAGCGTACCATGCAAGAAGACTTCGCAACCAAGAGCGATGAAATGCGCTTCGGCAATTGATAGTGACATAATTGACAAGTTATCAGTGGGAGACACGGAGGTGGAAAGGTTGAAAGCCTGCATGTGGATCGCTTCTCCTTGATATAAGCTTTGGCAGATGGAATGAGCGGGTTAAATAAAGTTTTAGACGCTGAATCCGAACGGCCGGGGATAGATCAGCATGGACGATACCAGTATCCAGCCACACATGAGTATTCCATCTACAGATCATCGCGTCAGTACCTTGACCTACTGTGGTTTGGGGGTGGCATACCTTTGTAAAGTCCCAGCGTACGAGGACACGACCGCATTTCAATCCTGATTCTTTTCAAAGGTGCATCTGGCAGAATGTTAAGCGCCGACTGCAAGAATGTTAAGCGCCGACTGCAGGAATGTTAAGCGCCGACTGCAGGAATGTTAAGCGCCGACTGCAGGAATGTTAAGCGCCGACTGCAGGAACGTTGCAACCACAACAATGAAAGCGGGAGTGAAGAACGCCGATCACTTTTCATGATTTGAAATGTCCTGATTTCGCCGACTACTAAGTTTGTCTACCCTGGCCCTGATGTGCACAGCAATGTGAGACGATTGGTCTGCCCTTTGAACTTTGATGCACAGTCGAGTGGGCCGCGGAGATATCAAGTTGATTTGGATGTGGACCACCGCAGAGCCTCGACGGTTTGCTAATACAACTCAGATGAATACCCTCGATCTCGCCGAGTTTAGATTTCCTCCCCTTGACAAAGAAGAGACTTCATAGGCACCGACATCGGAGACATCGCTGCCGTCAAATTAGACTTGGCATGAAAGAGGTACAGGTAGCTTCAAGTACTGCTTCTTTACCAACACCATTCTTTTTGATCGCTTCGTTACGACCGCTAATGTGCTAAAGAGTCAGAATAATGGTAGGCTGAGTATCATATAATTTACCTACCTTGCCCATAGTTTCGGGCAACTTTCCCTTGATGTTGTAAAGGCCTGTTCATCATAAATCTACACAATATTGAGTTTGAAAGCAGTCTTCAGTGAAAGAAAACGAAAACGCACCTCAGAAAGCGCATACACCCCAATTTTTTGAGGGTGGAGCTTTGGATTCATGGCGCCAAAAAAATCGCCGTCCAAAAGTGATTCATCTATAGAAAGCGAGTAAAGAAGAGCATAAGGGTATTCGAATAACATACTCTTCCCTTGCCAAACAGGGTTCATATTCCTACTTGATGCAGATACAAAGAGTCGGAACTTCATATTATGGAGGCCGTCTCGAGGCCGAACAATGATGTCAAGAATAAGCTACTGGAAGAATACAGATAAGCGGATTGTCGTTACAATTCAGCGGTAAGGTCATACCTTAAGTGGTCCCTGGAACCCTACGTAGTCCGTCATGCTCTAATCAGGAAAAGAAAACGTATGTAATAGACGCATACACCCCAGTTTTCTGTAGTATAGCCTCGAGATAGAAGGGATTCATGGCAGCAGAACAGTCGTCCTTCACAAATGATATGACTAGTCGAAAGCGATCTGAGAAGAGCAAGAATCAAAGAGCAGTCGGTCAACGTACCCTTGCTAACCACAGGCAGGTTCATATTCCTGCTTCGAGCATATGCCAATAGTGGGAACTTGGTATTGTTGTCGTTTCGACATGAAAGTTGAAAACGAACTGCTAGAAAAATAGGGATGAGCGGATTTTCATTGCAATTCGTTGGTAACATACCTTCAAATGGCAAATCCCAGTCCTTCACGAATCAGAGAAACTCGCTCAAACGCGCGCGCGCGTATCTTAAATTCCAGTTCTATTCCCTCACACGATACCACAGCGCCAGGAGACCCCGCCCTATGAGCATCACCACTCTTCTATTATTCAACGCGTCCCAGATTCCGGGGAAATTAACATAGGCGTCCCCCGCCAGTTCATAGCTAGCTCGTTTGAAGAGGCAACGTGATTCGCAGAACGGCATGCAACATCGTCGCAAGAACTCTTGGGAATCGTGGGTGGATGGTTAAGTGGAACCGTGACCGTCCAGACGCTGGGGCTGACATTCAACATTGTAACTCCGCAGATAACCACGGCGTGCCGTCACGTATACCTTGCCAGCGCGGCATAATTTCGGCACATGCCGATTTTAACTGCCGCGACTGGGACTGCTGGTTTTGCAACAAGTCCAGTATGTTTCCAGTTTGCCTCCGTACCACCATTTGTCGGTCATTCTCCACCCTCACCACCCTCGAATCTGCACCTCTCTACCGCATCGTGCGCGTAAGCAATATTCCAGAAGGTCACAATGTCAGTAACGTCGTCAATACCCTCAACGCCAAACCAGTACAGGCCATAATACCCTCCAAGGACCATATGCTTTTTCGATTTTTCGACGAAGGCATGGCCAGCCGGTGTATATCGCGCAGTAATAGCCTCTATCAGTTATCCCTTGATTTACCTTCGCCAGCGGTGACAACCCGTGATGTCGCTTTACTTGGGGTGTACAATCTGTCTCGCACCCTCCTTCTGAAAAACTTGCCATCAGACTTGGACGAGACGAAATTGAAAGAAATTCTCTCGCGACAAGATGGACTGGAAACTTGGAGGTTTTTCCCGTCAGAAAATGAAGCTGTGGCTCGTTTTTTGGATGTACACAGCGCGTTCGAGGTACGTCTGTTGTTGCTCTCATCCTGAGATGCGGTTCCTGATTCAGATTCCCGACAGACACGCACGGAATGCCAAAAAGCAGGGATGTCCGCTTCATTTCCAAATACAAGCGGCAGTTATATGTTTCCTGAATGGTTTCCTGAAGGAGAGGACGGCCTGGCGTTTGTGGAGACCCGCTTGGAGGTCTCCGATATTCAAGACTTCGACGCTCTGCTTGTTGCGCGGAGTTGGATCTCCAAGTATGAGGAATCCAGTCCTGCTTGTTTGATTTTTACTAGTTTCCACAAGTACCGAAAAGTAAGCGCTGCGTTGTCTGCGTACCTCACGTTTCTTATTGCCGTACCAGGTGCTCACGATGCAGTTTGTGACGACGGAAATCGCACGCAATTTTTTCGAAGCTTTCAGCACTGACGCGCAAGGTCAAGGTATGCGGCTGTCATTGGTGAAGAATCGGGATCCGCTCTCTCGTGGTATGATCACCGCTGTCGGCCTGGGTGCGCAACGAACAGTGCGCCTGAAGCTTTCAGGTCAAGGACCCCGCTTGAGGAGAAAGGAAGAGTACTTCTACTTCTTCTGTCAGTTTGGTGCCGTCTCCGGATCGTTCAGGTGCGTGTTTCGTCTCTCTGTTTAGTTGTTCCCTACTCAAATAGCGATCAGGGATGAGCAATACCATGAATGTAGCGAACCGCTGTACATCCCATTCGACAGCTTACAGAGCGCCCTCCGCTGTGTGCTGAGTATGTCACAGTTCAAGGCGGACATGCTCAACCATTTCCCCGAGCTGCAGGGCGCCACTATCTCCTTTGCGGGTACTATCTCCTTGACACCGACCCAGGTGCCGCAGTAGAATTTTACCCGGATCACACAATTTCGTCGTATCCCCAAGTTCTAAAATCCTCCTGCTTTTGTCTCTTCGGAAACGTCGGCACCTTTAGAAAGTTTGAATGGTCCCCTGCGTCCCTGTGGGGAATAGTGGAGCTCTTCAGTTGTTGCGTTGACATGGTACCTCATAGATAGCCGAGGAGAAACCATAGGTACTCCAGTCTGAATTAAGACCTACAACAATTGAACTTTCCTTGTCTGCCTGGAAAAGAATCTGTGGTATGCAATGCCATTCGATACGGCGTCAAGACTTGTTTCGCGTTCGATCATGAAGACGCATATGACGGTTTCTTACGTTGCAACGAAAATCAATACGACAACGGCTACTGGCGACTTAGTTGTTTCGACTGCGCAAGGGATCCACATCTTTTCTCACGCAATCTTTGCTAAGGCTGATATCCATTCCCTTAGTTGCATGCCCGTCTAGGTCAATAGGATAGAGTGTCAGAGCCATAAACTACGTGCCTGCGTCGCGGTTAGCGTTGAAAGCTGACCATCCCACAACGTAGGAACTTGACTCTTCTGAAGATGCCAGTTCGAGGCTCATGATGAGCGTACACGACGTCGTGGAGCCGCGAATTTTTCTGAGACCCTACAAATTAGGTCAGCAAAAAGCTGTCGAGACACCTTTTCATCTCAAATGATGTTAAAATGTTACCTCCGCCATCTATCTCTCGGGCTTTGGGGGCAGCATAAACATAGTTTCCCCAGCTTCCCCTCCGGGAGCACTGCGTAGCACATATGGTGTGCAGTTCTCGGCCAGGAGAAGGACACTTTTTTTCAATGCTCTTCGGAATGATCGGTCACCCGAGCGTGCAGAGATAACGAAATGTCGGGTTCTTGGGCGGCTAGATACGGCGGAGATGGTAGTTGTTTTCAGCGCCCTCTGGCGATGCGCTCGACTATCTACCTCGCTAGGAGTACGGTGAAAACGTCAGCCTTTCGTAAGTAATTCTTCATCAAGTATAGTTAAACTATATACCGTTGATGCCTACTTGAGTTTATGGCACATTCATTCGTCACACGTTCCAGACAGGCTTCTTTCTTTGGTGACATAGCTTCCGCTGCAGTAGCACAGATGTGAGTATTATTATCCAGCCTTGTGGAGTAATAAAGGTTCACGACGTTTAAAATAGGTCAGACGGGCGCTTTGACTGCATGGCTCACCACGAGGGATCAACATCTTTTCCCATGCTGTCCTTCCTTTTTCCGTGATTCCAATATACCCATAAAACTCGGGTCCATTCTCTTTCTTCCATGCCCGGCTAGCTCAACAGGGTAGAGCGGCAGAGATATAAATGGGATTCTTTCCCCGTGGAAGGATTGGCTACTGTTGAGTTGACCATTCCACGGGGAAAGAATCTTCCTCTTCTAAAGATGCGGGTTCGAGTCCCGCGCTGGGCGTAATGGTAATCCGACTTTTTTCAATAGTCCTATATATATATAGGACACATCCTGGGTCAATTTTTCACAATCTTCAAATGTATCTTTCATCTGGTAGTGTTAAAATACCACCCTCATCGGGTTTCAAGGGCAAATTAACATAACTTCCCGAGACTTTGACTCCCCTGCTGAAGCATACTATTAATAACTTTATTCCTCCAGGACTACTGCACATCGCTTTCATAAACATAGCTTCCTTCCTTCTGCAGAAGCATATACATGCTATTTGTTCCAAAGGCACATGATGACTTTATCCCGGACTGCACGCTCTTCTCGCGCCGGGACTGAGATACTTAGTTGTTCTTCGGCATGAACAATTGCCCGGGTATGCAAAGTTTACAAGGCGGCTAAATACAGAACCTGACGATGCGCTCGACTGTCCCTGCGGACGTCTCGGGAGTAGGTGGAAACGTCAGTCAGCGCTTTGTAGGTGATTCCTCATCACGTATCTATCGATGGCTGATCTCATCTTCAGGTTTGTATCACATTCCCTCGCTACCCATTCCCCGCTGCCAGTAGATTGCGTTAGAAACCAAACCTGTAAGAAGAGTAACTCAGTCTCGACATGATGGTGTGTAAATGGACTGAGGAAAGAAGCAGAATAAGGGGCTATGCTATTTAAATAGTGGCAGGACAAAGGAAGGTCCTTGGTATTTATCAAGAACACAATAAGATGCCAACACTCTTCCTCACTGAGGATCACTCCTCCTTCATTGCAAGCCCATGAATCCTCAAAGATAAATGAATGCTGCTGGTTCCAGTGCTTTTGTGAAGCAGTCAGCAATGTTATCCTTTGTATTGACATATGATAGGGTAATTTCTTTGCTTTTGACTCATTCTTGGATAAAATGGTATTTTATGTCCATGTGCTTCACCCTAGCATGCAAAGAGGGATCTTCTGAAAGATTGATGGCACTGTTATTGTCATACAGCAGAGGAGTTGAATCTTTTTGTTTGAAACCAAGCTCCATCAATAATGGTCTGATCCATATAGCTTCCTTCATGGATTCACATGCTGCAATGTACTCTGCTTCACATGATGATGTGGTGACCATCTGTTGTTCCTTGGCATTCCATGAAATCAACCCCAAACTCAGAGTGAAGCAATATCCTCCTATGCTTCAATGTGTATCAAGACAGTTTGCCTAGTCAGAGTCAGTAAAGCCAAGTAGTTTTAAGTCAGAAAAACCTTCAAGGTGAAGTTTGAGTTCTCTTGTCCCCTTGAGATACTGCACTACTCAGACTGCTGCATTCCAATGCATAAAGGCATAGCTATCCAGAAAACAAGACAGCTGTTGGACAGCATAGGATATGTCTGGCTGAATTCCAGTTGTCAGATAGATTAAGGATCCAACCAGTGAATGATACAGCAGCTTCTGTAGTTCAGCTTGATCTTCAGATGAGAGATCAGTGAGATCATGTTAGTGGAATTTCAGTCCTGCATCCATTGGGGTTGATATAGGGTGGGCATCTTTCTATCTAAATTGAGATATGATTCAGTTGATCAGAGCAATTTGTGACAGAGATACTATTCATTTTGCATGATCCTTTGATATTGTGATCCTGACACAGAATTTTGCCTCTCCTAGGTCTGATATTGTCTATTTTTCTCACATCTGTGTCTTGAACTGTTCATTCTCCTTCTTTAAGCTGACAACAGAGAGGAAATCATCAACATGGACAGCTCCAAGGACAGTATCTGTTGAGGTTTTTCAGTAGTAAATGCAGTATTCTGCACAGAGGCTGGTAAAACTCTATGAGACTATGACATCATTCATGGTTGTTCCAGATTCATCCACTTTGTTTCATGTCATATAGTCCTTGTTGAAGTTTCCATACCCAATCTTCCTTGCCAGATTCTTCAAACCCACTTGGCTGTTCCATGTATTGGATCTCATCTTCTGGAAGCAAACCATAGAGGAAGGCCATCTTTACATCAATTTCTTGTGCATTCCAATTAAGTGTAGCTGCAATGTGGAGTAGGATTCTCCAGAACTCCATGTGAGCAGTGGGTGAGATGGTTTTAGTGTAGTCTTGTCCATACATTTGTTCAAAACCTTTGAAGATGAGTCACACTTTTCAATAAATAGTGGCATCATTCTCATCCCATTTTATACAGAAAACTGAATGGCCTTGAGGAATAGCAGATCTCAGAACCAGCTTGTGAACTCCCATCTTCTCCAATGACTTCATCTTAATACCCTTTGAGCCAATGTTTTGCATCAGCAGAAGTCTATGCTTCCTTCCAGGAATTTGGCTCATCTTCCAGTTGTATTGTGCTGTAGATGTTGTGTCTGAGTGTTGTGAACAGATCATCAAGATACTGAGCATTTTCAGATCTGAGACCATCAGCAAGAGCTTTCTGGAGTTCTTGTCATGGGGTGAAACAGCAGCATGAAGTTCTACTAAAGCTTGTTTCTGTTCATCTCATGCAGCCTTGACATGAATCACACTTTGTTGTGACTCTTCAACAGCATGTTCAAGGCATGAGCTTTGTATGACAGTTTCAGTTGATGCAACTCTGGATGATCTCTGAGGATGAATAGAGTCTTCAGCATGCTCTGGTTGTTGTGATGGAAAATCAGAGTCAGACTGCATCCTCTGTAGAGTCTTGTTGGTTGAATCTGAACAGACATCTACTTCATCAGAGACATTAAAATCCTTGACAATTATTGAGGAAGATTCAGGTTTGTTAAATATACTTGTGATAGTCTTGGTAGTATTTGGTAACTGAGCCATGAGAGTGGTAGTGGTTTGGTGGGCTTCTATAGATGATATGTTGTATGAGGTGATGATCTTCTTTGACTCTCAATGGTAGCACCTGTATGCCTTTGCATTTGGTTCATACTCTACCAGCACACATTCAATGGATCATTCAAAGATTTTTGAGTTGTGCTTGTTTTGGATGAGAATAAAGATGTAACAACCTATTTCTTGAAGATGAGATAAGTTTAGTCTTTTCTTGTACCATTTTTCATAAGGCATTTTCCCATTCAATGACTTGATGGTAGTGAGATTATTAAGATAGGAAGCTGTGACACAGAGCTCATCCCATAAATTTAGAGGGAGGTTGGCATGAATTTGCATCATTCAGACTTTGTTCATTAAGGATTGGCAATATTGTTCTATCCTACTAATATTGGCTGATATATGTGATATCATGAATTCCTGTCTCACTCCTTGAGATTTCAACCATGCTTCTATTTCAGAAGACTTCAGCTCTTCATTGTCAGTTCAGTAAGTTCTGACTTTGAGTCCTGTCTTCTCTTCATATGCAAGCTTCTATGCTTTGAGTTCACTATAACTTTCATCTTTTTTGGATTGCAGAATTGACTAGGCATGACTTGTATAGTCATCAACAATGTTCATAATATAATTATTACCAGTTCTTGAAGTGACAGCTTGTAGTCTAATTAAGTCTACTCAAACTATGCTAAGCAGTGATATGCTATCTATGCATTCACACTCAGATTTTGTGATTTCATAATAATACTATTGCAGATCTGCTCTATACTAGTAGATATAATAGGGTTATAGTTCAGACATTGAGTTGATAGTCAAAGCAGTAGTCAATTAATAGAGCTAGAATTTAGATATAATACCATTAGTGGATCAAGTCTACCAACCAGCCATGCTAGTAATCCTAAATTAGCTAGGACTGTTATTGTACAATCACTAGTAGGTGAGAGAGGCCACTAGCACACACAACCAGAGGCAGAAAACACAGGACTCATAAAGCAAAGTCACTAGTGCACTAATCTGAGCATGAAACATCTAAGTTCAAATTTCTAACAGCATAACAAACTTTAAAAGAGACTTAGAATTGATTCAGCAGTGCATCAGACCAGAGTCTAGATTCAACTAGTGCAATACAGATCTGTCATAATCAGCCCTAATGCATCTGGACTATTTCTTTGATCATAATCAACAGCTGTTGCAGGCATGCCTGTCTGGCTAGTTGAATATCTTTGACAGTAATGAGGTATTGCTGGATTTGAGGAATGGAATAAGGCCACAGCCAGAACTCCTGGATCTGCTAGTAAGCATGTGACTGCTTCTAGAACCACTATTATATAATTATTCACTATAAAACATGATTAACCTGAGGAAATCTTGCTAATAATACCCCTCTCATTTAACTATTTATGCTTATAATACTTTTTGTAGATTGTATTTAGCTAGTAGAATAGAGTGGCAAGTGACAGGCAAGCCATCTCTGCAATTGTGATCTGCTAGTAGCATCTAATACTCCAATTAAAGGCTTTTGTGCTTCAACCTTGGAGAAGTGATGCTAGTTACTAAGTCTACCTTAGAATTGAGTGAATTGAAGTTCACTTTTGAGAATACTGTTGTGTCTAGAATGATTAAGAGTGTTTTTCAAAGTTAGTCAAGCAAGTACTCACAGTTATAGTATTATCCTTAGGCCAAGAGCATCACTAGTTTTTCTAGAGTGTGACTAGTCAAATGTTTATTCACTTGTAGGAAGCAGTTTCAGTTAAGAGTGCTAGTAGTCTTTGGAGCAGTCCCAGTCAGTGAGCATAATAGCTTAAAACTGTTATGATTTTCTACTCTTTTCTTCATCTGACTCTTATTTTATGCTTAGTCAGAGTGCCAGAACAAGTGCTTAGGACTGTGGAACAAGGCTTAGTCATCACAACTAACCAAGTCTGTCATTATCCTTCAATGCAACAGTATTGCTCAACAATACACAAACAGCTTTTTATGTATGGTAACGACACTCCAGGACAATGAGTGCAGAGACAGAGAGAAACACAATAAGTAGGTAGTATTATTAGCAAATCATGTTCAGTATTTAAGGAGCTTGCTCTCACTGGTAAAACCCCAGCTTTGAGCTAAAGTTTATTCTTACCATTTCATCTTGAGTGAATTGTGAATGCCTTGACTGCATTACAACTGATATCACTGAACTTGACCATTATACCCAAACATGAGGTAGCAATTATTTATTACATGTTACTAGTCATGTGCAACTTGGGCCTAACAATTAGCTTGAAGCTATACCTTCCCTTTCCTCATGCCTATTAGTGCAGAGGAAACTGAATGCCCTCAATCAATTCCTCAGATCTGAACTTTGATCATAAGTTCTTCAAACTCCTTGCTTCTATCGTCAGAACATTGTTGGGATTATTGGTGATCATCTAGCTGTGCTGGGGACACCATTCAATTACTGCTTGGGCCATCAGACATCACAATGAGTTTCAGCATATTTGATATATCCTACATAATATAACCCCCAATCTTCCCTTATATGATATTCTTGACTCCCAATGAACATCCCACCAGTCTCTGACAAACCCCATACCCAAAGCCAGGCCTAGCAGCCCACATCAAGGGAATATTCAGAAAGAAGAAAGACACAGATACCCTCCTCAATGACTCAGCAGAGACTGTGACAATCATATCACAGGATTCCAAAACCCATGGGTCCAGGGACTCTCACCTGACCATAAGGATAAAGACATCCTGGAAGACTTCTTTCAGCAGTCTCCCTTGCCTGATCCTTTCTCAGCCCCTTGAACTAGAGAGATTGGTGACCATACCTGGGACTCTCTTGAAGCTGCTCAGATGGCTGGAAGATCCTGACTGGCAACATCTAGAAGTCAGCCTCATAGCCCTGCCACAACTCTCCCCTGCTCAGTTGAGACAAGTGGTGAGATGGGGAGGACATCTTTGGCCCGACTCTATGATGAGCAATATGGGAGGGAGATTCAGGATGAAGTCATTCACCAATACTTCTCTAGCTGGGACATAAATGCTCCCTTTAACTATGACTAAGCCATCTGACAAGAAGAGCAGAGACAATGAACTGCATCACAGCCAGTTCACAGTGAGCTTGAGGAACATATCATTGAGAGTGGAAGAAGAAGATGAGAAGCCAATGAGTATAACAGACAGCATTGAGAAGAGCAGCAGGAAATCAAAAGAACCCAACTGGAAAGGGCCAACATCTCTAACTGGTATAGGCTTCAACCTGAGGGAGCTGCCATTCTTGCCTCTGTACATGCCAACCCATCCTTCTCAACCCCAGTCTTTAGAGAACCTAGCATCAAGTCTAGCCAGTGAAGCAAGAATCATTGGAGAAATGAGACCCTTGCAGTAGAAGGGAGAGACCCTGGAACCCCCTCACATCCTCTAACCCCACAGTATCCCCCTCCCCAAAGAACCCCTAGTGCTGACACTACATTCAATGATGATGAATCTGTCCTCAGACACTATGGGTTATGAGTCTCTGAAACAGCTCACATCTCTGTCTGCACTCTCTGAGGGTTCTTTGGGAGCTAAATGGTTGGGCAGCTACTCAACAATGAGTACAGAAGAAACATCCAGCTCTATCACAAGCAAGTGGAAACAGCAAGAGCAGCAGGAGGCAACTGGTATGACAACAATATTGGAAGTCAACCTGCTGCCACCTATTTTAGCATATCTGATGCCTCAGGCCCTGCTACTGGCTCCAGCACCCAGCCAGAGCAGCAGCATGATGATCCAACTGCCAGAGGAAAGAGAGAGTTTCTTCACCCTGCCTGACACTTTCCTTGAGGAGGAAGAGGGTGACAAGGATGCAGAAGACAAGGAGACTGAAAGTAGTGACCCACCCTAAGTTGGAGAGGAACTATCATATCTTCTTGTAGAAGATACTGACAAAAAAGAACTGAAAAGGGCAATACAGGAGGTGAGAACTCAGGAATACCAGGAGTACTACCTGCACAGAGTAAACTTTTTATGGTGTGATGCTATCTGGATAGCATCACAGTTGAGACAATTATATTTACAATCACCAACTAACAAAAAAACAAGAATTCTGAGACATGTGGCAACCAACTACACAGCAATCTAATATAACAACAAGCACTCAGAAGATCTGGTCAGCTGACCACCAGCATACCAGGCAGAGACTCTGGTACAGCCAATGCTGAGGATGCCACCCATTGCTCCAAGAAGAGCTGTATATATGGCACCCTCCATTTGAAGCACCTTTTTATACTCTGCTGCCTCCTTGCAGTCAATGGCCACACAGCTCTCCTGAACTCACACAGTGCTGAAGGCCCTGCTGACAATATACTGAAATCCCTGGACCAGCAAAGGAAGCCGAGTATTAGCCATCCAACCCCTGCCTGATGAAGCCATGAGCAGTGGCACAGGGAAAGAGCCAGTCTGGAATGACTCTGAAGTGGTCTGATTGGGATTTACTGTTCAAGATGAGATCATAGTCTGAAAGGAAGAAGTCCCACAAGGAAGTCCGATAGCAGATGACAATTCTCTCTATTTATTCTCTGGACCATCCCAAGAGTGGCAACAGTCTCCCTTTTCAGAATGGCTGAACCCCATGGAGGCCCTCCCAAGTAATGTGGCAGTCCTTCAGTGTTGCTCCGACCTGCTGCAAAAACCCCACCCCTTTAAAGGAGTGTCAGATGACATTAACTGGTTCTTAGTGGACTGTGAACAATACTTTGAGGTTTATATCAGTTACTTTGGTTCTGACATGAACAAGGTTGTTTTTGCTGTCTCTTACCTTGAGGAAAAGGTGAAAACCTGGTGGATTCTAATCTCTCCAAATTTCCAATCAATGACTCAGGGACATTACTAATACCCATTATGGCCAACATTTAAACAAATGCTGAATGACAAATTTATTGATCCCACAGTATAAGAAGTACACAAATAAAAGATCAAGGAATATAAAATAGGAGATTGGGCAGCCACAGACTATTTCAATGAGTTAGAATATCTTGCAAAACTCACTGGAATTTGGGATGACATAGTGAATGACAGAAGGATAGTTGAGGCTCTCAAGAGAAGAGTCCCCTCTTTATACATTATGATGATTTTAGCAATTGGCATCAAAGCACTAATGTCAGTCGGATATGATGAATGGAAAGAATGAATTATCAAGATGTACAGAGAGTGACAAAGGCAGAAAGCAGAGTCATCAACCCTTTAGGACTACACCAAAAAGTTGACACTGCTAACTCTGAACAAATTGAGGCAAACTGCCAGAAAATCATCAGAATCCTTAATGGCCCCCACCTATGGCACACAGAAGACCAGAACTGGAACAACATACATGA